TGCCGGTGAGTGAAAAAAAACTTTTATTTAACATTAAAGTAACGGATTCGTAAAAATTGCAGATGTAGATGTAGATTGTAGATTGTAGATTGTAGAAAATCCGTTGCCTTAAAATGGATGAGCTAGGATAGATTAAATTAAATAAATTAAATTACATAATTAAATAATTAAATTAAATTAAATAATTTTAATAAGTTTTTTCAAACTTATGCTTTGCATCTATTGCGAAAATATATTGAAATATTAATTAAAAAGAAGAATGAGAAAAAGATTTTTTTGTAAAGATTATGTCTAATTTATTAAATAAGAACACGCATTAACAATTATCAATTTTATCAATTTGTGATGTTAATTTATTCTTATAATACGAACTTATCTTTTAATTGCTCATAGCTTGTCTATCGTAGAATTTGTTTGTAGATATTATTTTTAAACTTTACTTTAACTTGATATAAAGTCAAATGATTAATTAATTAAATAATTTGTAATATGATAAATACACACATTAATTTTATATTTTATTATAAAATATAATTTATAGAAATTTGTAGTAATTTGGCTTTATTCAGTTAAAATAAAGTTATATTTAATATTTAACGAACGATCGTGAAATCAAACGATTGTTACTAAATAAGCGTAAATATTTTACGCTCTTTTGGCCGGCAATATTTATAATTATCTGGCAAAAGAAAGAAATAATTATCTTCTTCTTCGATCTCTGATTAGAGATCGAGAAAGAAAGTGGCCAGGATCAACGAAAGATAGGTTCAACTGGCCTGAAGAGTATGGTTAGGGCGCGCGGTTAGGGCACGCGGTTAGGGCACGTGACTAAATATATACATGATCAGGTGAGGTAATGATTAGAGATAGGTTCCTCAAATCTCGAATAATTTAGTTAATCCGGAAATAGGGTTTGTTAAGGCTATTAAGTAAAATCATTAAAATTCTTCTATTAATATTAGGGTTGTTAGGGCTCTTGAGATCATTAGAATTCTGTAATAGTAGGATTGTTAGAGCTATTAAAATTATTAGAATTCTTTAATAGTAGAGTTGTTGAGAAAGATTCATTCTTTCTTTTAATATTTCAATATTATCCTAGGGATAAATTAAAATTATTTTAATTAAATTAATTTATTTTTAAAAATGTTGTGAAAATAAATATAACATGTTTTAAAAATAAAAATGTTTTAAAAGTGAAATTTAAATTATCAAAATTATCTTTAGAAATATTAAAGAAATGCATAATTATTAACGTTTAAGAAATCTTAACATGTTATATTTATTTTAAAACTTAAAAATATATGTGTATTAAATCAAATATAATATTTAATCCAAATGTTAATGCTATCAATATCAAATTATTATATCGATGTTATTAAATATTTGAATAAATCGGATATTATTATTTGATATTGATAGCATCATAAATTTGTAAATTGTAAATTGTAAATTAGAAATAGTTATAATTGTATATTAATTATAATCTAACATTGATATTTTAATTGTAAATTATAATACAATTATGACTATAATTATATTATATGAAATTGTATTTACGATTGTAAATTCTTATGCAAATTACACGAAAAATTATCGAAAATATAGGTATGATTACATAATAGTAATTAACATAATAGTAATTTATTAAATTAAAGTATTTGTTTCTGTAGTATATATTTTTAAAATATTCGTAAAAGAGTAACTATTTGTATTTTCATGTCAAAGAGTCATTAATAAATTCGGAAAATTTTTATATAGAATGTAAAAATTCGATGCTAAATTAATGATAAATATAAGCATTAAATATAAGCATTATAAAATTTGACGGACGCCTTCGTTACAGAATCGCGAGTCAATTATTATAAATTTAATGATGCTTGATTGATTTAGTTATGCTTTCTGTTAGCTTTATTTATTTATGAATTCCATATTGCGCGGAATTGAATATTCTTAAAATAAATTATTAAATTATGATTGCGAAAATACCGTGTCCTTTCTGCGTTCTCTTCTCGTCCTTATACAAGATTATCATTTTAACATAAGAATTTTATTAATTTCGCTGTCTCTCTCGTCAGATAATATTCCTAAATATTGCTAATTAAATATAAAGAAATGTCGAATAAGAGAGTGAAAATTCGATATGATAAGTCAACGATTAAATATTAGCTTCACAAAATTTAACGATCACCTTCGATGTTATAGAATCGCGAGTTAACTATTATGAATTTAATAATTTGTTCCTTCGGTTATATTCGTGTATTTACGAATTTCGTATTGGAAAATATTCATAAATAAATTCATAAATTATGGTTGCGAAAACCGTCTTTTTCCCTCGTTCTTTTCGTGCTCTTAGACGAGATTATCATTTTAATGAAAGAGTTATCGTTGTTCTTTTCGTTAGGTAAATGTTAATAAAAGTTGAATGGCTCGTATCGCAAGAAGTCGAAATGATTTTCATTATGGAGAATTATTTCTTATTGGTTTTTGTAAAATCCATTCGCGACGTCTAGTTCGATGTCCCGTTGAAAATTGAGAATTTTTATTGTAAGAATGGAACTAATTCCAGATTTTCCTGACAATTTCTGACAACAATGATTTCGGTAGTTATTCAAACGACGAACGTCATACGCTTCTTTAAAGTCGAATTAATATAAATAATATATTATTAGATGTGAAAGAAATGCATATATTTTTTTCTTCTCGTTAAAAATGTTCTATCATTATTAGGATTCATATTATTATTATCTAATGCCAGAAAGATTTAATGGTAGATTAAATATGGATATAGCTTTAGGTATAAATTTTTATTTTTCAAGTAATTTCATATCGTAATAGTTTTTATTAACTTTTTGATAAAAATGATTACGAACGAATATATTTTATTAATTATTAATTAATTATTTCTAGGTACTGGGGATATTAATATTAGTCTTTAGTTTCTTTTAAGAATTTTATGTGCAGGACATCGCCATTTTAGAATATTAGTTTTTAAATATATACCATTTTATATATATGTATAATAAAACACATGCACAAATTAACGTATTCAAAATATTTTTATAATTTTTATTAATATTATATATTATTTACGCGAAATTATACATGAATGTTACATAAAGTGTGCGAATATTTAAAAATTTTGAGATGAATCGAATGGGTACCCCCATAACAGTAAGAGATTGATTAAAAAAAAAAGAAATTATTAATTTAAGCGTTATAAGAATCTAAAGAATTAATTCAGAATTAATTGTTTAAAATTATTTGATTAATTTTATTTTGCACACTGTTCGAATTGAAATTTTTTATATCTTGTTGATATCGGGTTCGATTCGTTTCGCGCGCGCAAACGATACTCCGAATTATATGTGTTCGCACATTTAACACAAACTCCAATAATACATGTATTTTATTATTTATAAATATAATCGTTCGTAATCACATTTCAATAAAAAAAGTCGTTATATCTATATAATTTTCAATAAGGAAATATATTTCTTAATAATGGAAGAACATGTTTTCTGTGCATATCAATTTCATGAATTGAAGATAATGACGAGGATAATTGTCGTTGATTTATTATTGAAAACATTGCTATCGAGAATAATCCAGGATTCGTTTTCTTCTACAGTGAAGTTCCCGACGTTCAATGGACTACTTAAAATTTTTTTTTAATTCACACAATTTTTTAATTCACAAAAATCCATATTTTACGATGATTATCATGAAATTTGAGAAAAAAATTTATTCCACCATGTGAAATGCGTCAAAGTATGCAATTTTTTGGAGATGTAACACGTTCTTACTTTTGAGGAGATGACGAGAGGGAGGGGGGGGATAAATTCTAAATCTGACAAATGAGTTTCAAAATAGAGGCTTTAAGCTTGAGAATGAAAAAAAAATTTCAAATCCTTTTTTTGACGTAGTTATATTTATTTGAAGTTATGCGAAAATTTTACATGAAATTACCTATGCGACAATTTTGTTGACGAGTGTATATTCATGTGTATTATATTTTACGTTTGGAAACTCTGTATTAAAAGAGAATAAAAATAAAATAAAAAGAAATAAAAAAACTTTTTCTTCCTCGATGTTTCTCTAACCTTAATAAAGGCATTTGCCAAGTGGGGAGGTTTAAGTATTCTCATGAATCTGAGATCTATGCCGGCGGTATTGTACGCCGATATTCATATAAATTATTCTTATATTTAACATCATTTAAAGTATGATCTTAGATTGCTTTTTAAGATTTCGTTTAGTTAGTAAAATAGTTACATTCCAACTTACTTAAAACGATCTTAAATATAAGAGTGAATTATGAATATCGGCCGTAATTACGATAGGGTCAGACATGCCAGACAAATCGAAGGGGAAGAGTCGGACTAATAGAAGTACCAAAATTGTATAAATATATGTTATATTATCTAAATATTTTTGAATAAAATAAAAGAAAAAGAGACAATAATCGAGAAAATAGAAAAAAGCAACTATAGTGATTTCAATATCTATACCTGAGAACGAAAGTATTCCAATGGACTCCATAGGAAGGAATAAGCATGACAAGTGATGGTAATCTGTATGATGTTAACACAAAGGAATACAATAAACATAAAGGAATATAATAATTCAAGAACTCGAAGAAGAGAATATATTGGATAGAAATGTATAGTGATTGGAAATAATTAGAAACTAAAAGACAATATGCATACAATCTATTTATTAATAGTAATACTATTTTGTAATTATATTTAATTTTAATTTAGTACATTGTATTATATAAGGTATTAAGCATAAAAATATTATACTGATATGAAAATTATAATAAAAATATATAAAAATAATGTTAGCTATATTAAAATAGAACAAACGAATTCTTTATAATAAATCTAATATTAAGATTAAACCTAAAAATAACAGAATTAATTTAGAAATATTAAAATTAATTTTCCTGCATTTATTGAATCGTTCGAAAAAGAAGATAAACATTAATTTAATTATATCGACTAAATAACATCGACTGGACTCAGTAAGGCATCTTCCATGTTCTTTCTTAATGCTATAATATTTTCCAGACAAAATTTGAAATTTGGTCTAGCATCCGCTGCACTCCAGCAACGTAGCATCAACTGGTACAATGGTGGCGGACAGTTAAGAGTCATCGGCAACCTGCCTCCAGCACGTACATGATATATCACTTCATTCTCAGTCTTGTCAGTATAAGGTTTCTCACCCAACGATGTAATTTCCCACATTATTACTCCAAATGACCAAACATCGCTTTGAGAAGTAAATATTTCAATCATCAAAGATTCGGGTGCCATCCAGCGAATAGGAAGACAACATTCTTCTTTCTAAAACATGATTTAAACGAAAATTTAATATTTTGATTTAAGTTGTTCATTTATAGAATATGTGCAAAATGAAAAAAACGTTTATTTATGTCTTGCTTTACATAAATAAAAATTATTTATATTCTATATTACTTAAAGAAACAATGCACGATACTATTATGATAAAAAAATGGAATGTATTTTCAAAAGAATTAATTTTTAAATTATTAATTTTTTTTCATAACTGTATACCTTGCGATAATAATTATTCTGGTAGATATCTCTAGCTAGTCCAAAGTCCCCAATTTTGACGACACGATTCTCTCGATTCCTCGAAGATATTAAACAATTGCGACACGCTAGATCTCTATGTACGAAACGCAACTCTTCCAAGTAGCAACAACCTCGCGAAACATCTTCGCACATGGCGAGCAAATCCTGCAAACGCAAAGCAGCCGAATCTGACGCTTCCAAATTTCGACAATCTCTCAAATATTGTAACAGATTTGTTTCCATCAATTCCAACACTAATAACGGAGAATCCCCATCTAAGCAAATGGCCAACAATCTTAATATATGTTTGTGTCGAAAATGATTCATAAGCTTGGCTTCCTTTAACAATTTCTTTTTCTCATAGGAAGAAGCATCTTTCCGAAGCGTTTTTATTGCAACGGATATCTCTGTGCCCGATCTTTCTAAGTTCTTCACATTTCCTTGAAACACCTGCAAAATATTTCACACAAATTTACATGCGTACTTCATTAGAAAATGTATATAGTTTAATGTCAAGTAATATTATATTTTACTTTATATTAAATAATTCAACGAAAAATGTATAACAAAGTGCATGTTTGTTGTCTCATCTAAATTTTATATTACTTATAATCTATTATAAAAATTTATGTAATTTATATCTTTATTAGAATATACATATCTGTTTTGTTAATTCAAAAATTAATTTGAAACATTGCTTGAAAAAATTAATTTTTACCTTTCCGAATGCGCCGCTTCCAAGAAGTTTTGTAAATGTAATCTGTTTACGTGCGACTATGGTTACCGCACATTCATCTGGATTATAATGTAACGTAGAATTGTCAATCATGAATTGAGTGTTTCGCCAAGGTACATGTAGAATCTTCAATTCCATATCGTTCATTGTTGAAGACAAATATTGTTCATTATCTCTGCGATGCACTGTTATGAAATTTCGAGTTAATTATGTAATAATATGTATTATAAAATCTATTGTTTTTAATAAATTTATTCGTTTAGTTTTATATAAGTAAATTACTATTTGCAGTAAATCTCTAGATATTATATCAGTTATATATATGTATAATTTACAATTCAAGTCGATACCTAAATCAAATACTTACAATAATAAAAGTACCAGATGCAGATTATAGTAACTATAACGATAAAACTTAACATGAATAATAAGTAATATTCTTTCGCTATTATTCCAGGAGTGCTCGGAATATCTATATTAAGCAAAAATATAATTTTAATATCTTCGTCTGTGTATGTTTTTACAAATTTAATTTTACTTATAACTTTAATACAAAATATAATTTTTTAAATTTTAGGCATATTCATATCTAAAAAAATTAAAACATAATATCTATGCAGAATATTACAACTACTTTTGTAACAATATTGCAATATTACAAATATGTTCTCACTTCATTTACTAATACGATATTAATCTTCAAAGATAATATATGTTTTTATTAAGAATAGATAATATTATATTTAGATATTATTATATTTTTCTATGCATTTTTATGCATTTTTCACATGTAAATAAATACAAGATGAGTTTTTTATTTTCAGACATCGAAATATCTCAAGAAATACACATCGTACGAAAAAATGTCCGTAATACTTTATTTTCTAGGGGGAAAACTGACCCCGCGAAAATTAAGTCCCCTCCATTCCAATGATTTGCAATATTGCAATGATTCAATGAAATTATTCTTCACTATATCTGCAATCTTATTGTGCTGTATAGGTATTTTCATTTACTTATCACGTTTGCTACCACGTGTTGAAAAAGTAAATCTTTCATCAGCCGGCCATGTTAAATCTTCCTCGTATTCGATGTATCTCAATTTCAAGCGAAACTTGTATAAAGTTCCCGATTGTAAATTTTCGACCTTGTATATTACTTCACTGTTATAATTCATTTTAATATAATTCATTGTTTGCCACTTTTCTGCTGCAATATCTTTGTACTCTAGTATACAAAAAATCGTCAGATTAATGTTTGAGATCCACGAAATGTTCATGCTATTTATGTCGACCCCGCTCAAAGTAATATTGTTTGGTTCTATGTGAACGATCTTGCTTAAACTCTCGTTGTAGAAATCACTGAAATTTTTTGGATATACACGCACGTATATCATATAATCTTGTACCGGTAGCGACAAGTTAATCTTTGTGAAAAATCTGCCGTCTGCCGTACGTTTCGGCACATTGATAAATTGTTTGCTCTTGTGTTGCGTGCCGTTCACTAATGTAACTGACTTCCAATGCACTTCGTAGGTCACGGTCACGCAGTTCACTTTCTTGAGTGGCATCCAATGAACTACTGCTATAGTAGGCGTTAAAGCTAGAACACTTACGTTTTCTGGTGCATCAAACTTACCGGAATTAGTTTTTATTGGTATCACATTCGAATCAAATGGATTTATTGATAATTGATCAAAGTAAAAATTGTTTAAAGTAAACTTCAATTTGTACTCTGTAAATGGTGTTAAGTTCTGAATCTCGTAATATCGCTCGAACGTCACATATCGTAGCACGTTGAATTTCTCCGACTTGTTGAGATTGTTGTCTAAACAGCTTATGGAGATAGTATATATAGTAGTTGGTAAATTATATTTTTTGCATCCACTCTTTACAACCGGCTCCGGAAGATTCACACTGATGCTGTTTGTTGTTGCATTCACATTCTCAAAATTATAAACTTTCTCGTCAGGTGTCAGGCATCTCATTGGAGGGTATGGTTGTAGAGATTGATCAAAAGCGTCAATTTGATAAAAACGTTTATTTTTACTTGCGCTTATTATCTTTTCAACATATTTTTCTGCATTTACGCTATTGAGACTTGCATATTTCTTCTTCAAAACGTATATATCATTCGAATTATATCTTAAAATGTAAATGTTTGTTTTGTCAATTGTAATAGAGCGAAGTATGAATTTATCATTTACGTTTTTCATGTGTAAAATCTTACTGCATTTAAAAACGTTAATGTCTGTCACAAATATGCTATTAGAAAATAACCAGTAAATTAACGGCTCCTCATTATTTATGTCATCAATTATCATATCATTAGGAACATAATTGTTATCAGGGCACAAGGATGTATTTACTGGAACAATTTGTTCAATTTTTCTATCGAGATGATATTTCATTATATTATATTCTGTACCTCTTAAATTGCGAAATAGGAAATATAAAATTCTGAAAAATATATAATTATTTTACTCACTGTAAAACATTATTTTAACAAAAGTAGAAACTTGTACGTAGTAAAAATTCGAAATTCTTTTAATTATATTACAACTTATTATTTTTTTTACTTATGATCTTAATTATAAAACCACGTAAAATTATAGAAAAATTACAAATATGCATAAACCTTTAATGGAAAATTATTTTTTCAGATAAACGGTAGTAAACGTACCCCATAGACGGTAATACATTTAAATGGTAAATACAACATTCTGCTTTGTAAATTTCATCAAATTTAATTATGCCATTTTCCCACATTGTTAAGTCGAATTTTACAATATAAGAGTAGGGTAAATAATGCCAGAAATATAAATTTCTTGCTACCCAGTCAACGCAGAAATATTTTCCTCGATAAAAGCCAGCTATTTTTGTGTTATTATTTTCATTAATCTTCAATATCATTAGATCACTTCCATTTATCCAATAAATTTTGCGTTCCTGTATCGAATAACAGACATATTCTACATTTCTGAAAGAAAGGAACCAATTATAATTGTATAGTAAAAAGTTATAATTGAAATTTCTAATTTTATAGTTATTACTGCTATAATGTTGATAATAATAAACTTGTGCATAATAATAATAACTTTAATTTTATACTTAGTGTTAAAAATAATTTATGATAAATATAACTATTTTTTTTATCAGTATACGTACTCTGACATTATGAAATTAGTAATGTTTAAATCCACGTCTAATATGTGGATGCCTTTTTCCGATGTGACTAATAATTTAGGTATTGGATTTTCATGCACAGTCGACACATTGATTAAATCCGTGTAAGGACCAGCAACAATTTTAGTATGCGCACGTACTCGAAAATAATATGTCGTGTTAGATGTTAGATTGTGCACCGTGTGCTCCAATTTTATAGTTGTAATATTTTTATCATCGCAGATTTGAATCTCTTTTAAGTTCTCGATGAAAAAACATTGCACTGTGTATCCCTGTATTATTTCATCGGTAAATTCAGGTCGGTTCCATCTGTAAAAGCATAAAATTTTAGTCACTTTACATTTATCAAAATTATAACAGAATTAAAATTTTGATATATTTATATGTCGTTGAATTTAAGAAAAAGAGAGAAAAATAAAAGAACAATTGGGAATTTAGATTCCTTACCTCAATGTCACAAAAATGTCGTTTACTTTTTCTGTAAATTTATTGTCGTATTGTACAAATGCTCTGAGAGATGTTGGCTTGCTTTCTAGAGATTTTAAGAGCGTACGTATTAACATAATTATATATAAGATTAAGTGAATTAACTCAGAAAAAAACAATATAATGTGAAAATAAAGGAATAAATTTAAACTACAAAAAAATAAATGTAAACTACAAAATATGGAAATTAGCACAATATTGACCTTTAAAAAATAATATAAGAATTTTTTGTGTCATTTCAGATTTAGAAAAGTAATCGTTAATTCATGGCAAAAACGAATAAATAACATTTAATAAAATGACAAGTATTTTTCGATAAATTCCTATAGTTTATATATAGTTTATAGAAATCAGAGGTATAATATTTGCGACTGCTTTAAAACGGAGTATCAAATTAATAAAATTGACTTTACTTTAAATTATGACAATTTTTATGTATACTGTTATATATATATTATGCTTTTTTATTTCTTTTTTGGACGGAATAGAATTTATATTCTTCTTACTACTGGAAAATATTTTTGATTTCCATTCTCTCTTGAATTTAAATTATATTTACACTTTTTCGTCATAGATTTTGTTATTAATGTTTTATGCATTTTTTTGCAACTTACCGATAGATTCTGGGATAATAGAAATATTTGCAAGTGGAACCTCATCGACTTCTCGGCCATTTCTCACAGTCATACTATCAGAATAACTCCGGTCAGATTTGAAATTTAGTATATGATGATCACTTTTCTCGGACATTGAAATATCCTTCATAAAGTATAACGTACGAAAAGAATTAAGTGAATATTATATTGTTGAAGGTTGTATTTATTGTTAAATTATATAAATTATAAAATTAAACGAAAAATTGCCATTTGTTTTTTGTTTGCTTAATAATACCGGTATATACCATTCCTAAGTAATATAAATTGAATGTGATGTAGTTTTATTCATATCGTAAATATATATTTTTTAATTTTTTTATAGCATCTTATATATCTAACATAACTCATGTCAAAAATAAAATCAATCAATAGGTTAACGAGAGTCAATGAGGAATCATAACAGCTTTTAGCATCATTACAGCAAGTAGTGCAAGCGAAAGTGCAGCTCTTTGCAATTATTAAAACAATTTGTCGAACGATTTGATTCTTTTTTACGATAGGTTAGTTAACTCTTCTCAATTTTATCAATTTTAACAATTTTACGTAATTCAAATTTCTTTTCAAAAATTTGCCGATATTACTAAAGTTTTATTAATGTTTGTACTTCAAAAATAAAAAGGTTTCAAAAATAAAAATATTGTTTCTTTACAGTTATTAAATATTAGAGTCATAGAATTATATAAATTCTTTTATTTATAACTTTTTCAAGTTTTTTCTCGAATATCGTTATATTTTTAATACAAACAAATTCTGGAAATAATAGTATGAATCGATAGTATAAACCGATAATGCCTCCATAAAAATATGTGGATATAATTGTATATAAATGGATATATATACAATGAAAATTAATATAAATTCGAGTGATTATTATTGAATATATTGTCGATCGAAAATATCAGCGTTAATAGATACAACTTGAAGAATGTTTGATGAATGATTTTTTTATTAGACAGAGTTTCTATCTCGATATTTAGTAGCTCTGTTTCGTTATATAATTACATATCCTTAACATAAAGAAATTATGCTAACATTCTAAATTAATTTTATAAAATAAAATTTACATTAGTATAAAGCTTACTATATATCAATAAATATGATATATATATAGGAAAATAAATAAATTTTAAAAATTGAAGAAAAATAACATAAAAATCTGTTGAAGCGCCATCGTATGTATATTTTAATGTAGCAGATAGTAGACAGAAAATTTCATTAAGTTTAAAAATTGTTATTTTTAGAAATAATAATTATATATGTATATGAAGAGAGAGAAAGAGAGAGAGAGACAGAGAGAGAGAGAGAGAGAGAGAGAGAGAGAAAGAGAGAGACAGACAAAATAATTCAGTCAAATTTTAAAATATCGTTGTAATTAAATTTAATATACTATATAACATCTACTTGTAAACAAAATTTCGAAACTTTATCCATCTTTTTTTTACAACATTGTACATACTTTTTTCTTCTATATTGAATTACTTTTTTTTTAATCTTATCCTATTATAGGTAGAATATATAATTTATTACTATTTATTTTTAGTTACACTACTGCAATAACATTCAATTGTTTCTTAATCAAGCGAAAATATCTTTTACCTGCGTGAAATTTAAATCTGGATACATGGAAATATTTTCTTCTTGGAAGATGTTCGAAGTGATATCAACCTTCGGCGTATTAGTTGCTTTTGTCAGTATTAAACCTTTTAATAAAACACATAATATTGTTCCAAACATAATTTGCATTTTTCGTAAAAGTTTGCACTCAATCGACTTCCGTTGAATCCTGAATTAGTTGTTTTTCTCACTCTACTAATTCTGATGTGTTAATCAAATTGAT